TTCTTCGGACGCTCCCATTTTTTTCTGACCGTCACCTATGGACAGCGGCCAGGCGTGCCCTCCCACTATCCCAGCGGCACACCGAACCCTACGTTAACACTAAAAATATAAAAGAACGAAGTCGCAGCATTTCCTGCTAAGAGGTGGACGTTAAAAAAAATAGAGAACGAGGCTGCAAAGCCCATCTGCAGGTTACGTAAGTCATTAACAAAAATAAGCAAGGGAGGTGAAAGAGTGGTCGTAGTAAAAGGCAGCATACAACTGGCCGCTAGTGCCCGCCCAGAAAAGTAACTTACTCGCTCGATATTAGTATAGCATTCGCGCAGACTGGGAGGGGCAAGGGTTTTGTCGGAGAGGTGCAAGTCGAAGACTCCAGTTTCATCCGCCACAGGGCTTTGCTTTACGTGGTGAAAACCTACGCAAAGTCACAAAAACATAGCGTAACATAAAACATACAATCATACGTATTGTATGATTGTATGTTTTATGTTATACTATGTTTTATGTTATACTAACACGCATCCTCGGCGTTGCTGAGTTGCATCTCGTCTTCAGAGTCAAGCTCTAAAACGCCCCAAAGACGTGGCATATTCAAGGAGCCGAACAGCTGTCGGAATAGAGATCCACTAAAATCACAAACTCCTTCACCGAAGCCCGTTGGGGGTGCCCTGCGCAAACTGCTGAATGTCCGTATCCGGGGTCAGATGGCTGGAGCCGGACGTGTTTTGCTGGGAGCTGTCTATGTTCTTGGTCGGCGTTGGTCACATTGGCGACCAGTAATGCACTCAGCCCAATTGCCTGCGGCCAGAGAGGCGCCATTAGCGGTCGTGGCGGTCATCTGCAGCCCGGGGCAGCGGTAGAGCGGGGATGGAGCCGCGCGTAAAGGAAACTGGAGGCGCTGGGTTCTATTCTCGTGGTGCCCGCCGCTTCTGCCGGGGTGAAATGCAGGCGATGTCATGTAGCGCCGGCTGCTGAGTGCGTCGTAAGGCCGTTTTGACCCGTCTGTGGCCCGGACGGCTCCCCCCCCCCCCCCCATGCTGTTCTCTGAACGAGGCAGCAAAAGACACCATGTGAGCGGTCTGGGATCAGCACGCCACTTGGTGCGGTATGACGTCATTGGTCAGCCTGCAGTGAGACGATTTTAGGTCGCTTCCGTGTGCGAGAGGCAAAAGGCGGGAGATGTGAAGAGAGACGTCTGTGTGCTCTGTTCTATGAAAAGGCATGACATTTCAAATTCGCCTCTCAGAAGGATTGGTTTTGCCAATTGTTGCGGAGCATAAAGTCACGCAGACCGCCCTTTTACTCACCACTTGGTGTCCATTAAAAGCCACCGATGCGCGAGTACAGATGGCCAAACCTGGCACTGGCTGATATTAGGGAATCCCACGGCTTGGACAAACATATGGGTACCCATTTGGACCACATGGAATGGGTAACGAGTTGGCTTTGTTGCAGATCTACGAAGCTACAGGTATTAATATCGGTACAGGTAAGACGTTTACGAAATCCCCGAAACATACTTCAGGAAATACTACACAATGTTATTGCTTCTCTTCTGTCAGTCACTTTCAGTTCTATTCACACCACGTTCGCAATCATCAACAACAAAGTGCGCGTTTTGGTGTAAATCTTTTCGAAACGCTTCCATAATTTATAGCTAACTGGGGGGACAAAATGCGACTGGATGTGTGGAGGATGCGTGTTACTGATGCGGGACTGGTGGCGGGTAATGAGCTAATCCGCGCTCTAATGACAGCACCCGTGCCATTTGTGTGCTGATAGTTCAATGTGTTCGCTTGTTTCTGCGGAGCTGCCCTTTTCCCGTGGGCAGAGGTTTGTATTCTAGAATTCAATCTCTTTGATAAGTGAATGTTCCACATCACTTAAAATTTGCATTCATAAGTAAAGCTAATGACCTTAGGTAATTGCTTCTACTTTTGGCTGCCCATAGTCGGAATGGAATTAACTCAAGACGCGCTGGGATCTCACCGTGAATAACAACGAAACAATTGGTTTGTAGTGTCTTACGGTTTACCATAGCTGCATGACGTGAGCAAACAACTGAAAAAATCCTCAAGCACAAGTCCACGAATTGCATTCTTCTTTCCCAATTGCCCACTCCTCAGGAAAAAGGTCAGTGTATTTGATTCTTTATTCACATGTCCATGCTCAACACCGGCTCACATTTCCACGCACGATTTTACTCACATCGAAGATGTCAACGCAGAGGCAAGCCTAGACGACACTGCTGCTGTTCATGCTTAAACGCACACGAATCAGCCCCACTCGAGCATCAACACCCACGAATCGGCTCGCGAGTAGCAGCACTAGTCGCCAACAAGCGTCCTCCTGGTCTACTGCCACCCTGATACCCTGCTGCTTCCTGACTAGCCGGGTCACCGCCCGCTGTGATACGTGCACACGCCTGTCCCGGCTGTGGTCCGCCCCCCCCCCCCCCCCTACTGGGGTGGTCCCATCCTCGTAAGCCCACCGTGGGTCGACACGCTGCCCCCCCCCCCCCCGTGGTAACGACACTGCAGGACCAGGTTATACAACTTGAGACGCTGCTTTTCACGAGATTTGGTCTGCAACCCTCCGCAGTTCAAACTTAGACCCACCATGGAAGGCTTGGCGTGGCGAAGGCGTGGCACCGTTCTTATCAGATTAAGTCAGTGGGTGCCCGAGTTCATGTGTTTATGTTTCAGTTCTGCAGCGAAATGTCTTAAGCACTATTGCTGGTCCGTTTTTGCTGTCTTCTTTGAGGCCCGACAACTTCACGCGTTGGCTGAGCTCTGTGCCATGGCTGGGTGACGCTGGAGCATGAGAAATTCATGACTCAGCCTGATTGGAAGCTGAGGAAGCTCGGCTTGCGCCAGCCAAGAGCCGTCAGATCTACTGAAATCACCAGAGGTTCCTCACGGGAGGGGTGATACGTGTGGGTCCTCTCGTCACTGGGCACGTCCTCTCCTTCTCCTCCCCCCCCCCCCCTGCCTTCACCCTTCTTTGATTTTATGCAACCCACGGCTTAAGTTATGGGCGTAATAGTTACACCTGGAAAGTGCTCTTCTGCAATATTGTCATGTTTCGAGTGGCACATATCGAATGTTAAGTAGATGTCGCAAGAACAGCATCAGAAAACTTGCAAGTTACCAGCCAACCGTAAAGGACAAGCCACCTAAGGCGTTAAGCGCGATTTCAGTGAGTGTTTGACATTTGTCATTCAAATGTCACTATCCAGGTATCTGTATGTCGAAACTAAGTCACGAAGCCAGTTAGAATAGAGCAGTAAAAGCGATTTTGACCTGTACCTGGACAGCTAGACTGAACTGTCATCTTTCGGCCGGCTTGCTCCTGCGCCCCCCTCCCCCCCCCCCCCCATTCTCCTTGCGCTCTGCGATCGGACAGCGATTCGTTTCTCAGCCCACGCTCTGTGACTGACGTAGCCGACCACCGTACGATGTTGTACTCGCTTCTCATTGGTTAACAATCACATCATTTCTGTGGCACATGATCGTGACTCGTTTCCATTGGAGGTAGCACATAGGGCAAACCGTTTGTTACCATGTATGTTCGCACGCTCACTGGATCTGAAGACGTAAGGCTGCTGTTGGTTGTTGACATTGTGTCATTGTTTGAGTGTCGGTAAGTGTAGGTTGTTGACAAGAGGAGGGTATAGACTAATATTTAACCTTGATAAGACGGTAGTAATAGGTTTATTCCTCGTAGAAAAGACGGGGACAATGGAGATATAGATCTGTTGATATTTCGGCAACACGTCTTTGCCGAATCGAATAGCAGAAGTAAATTCTGCTTTATATGTAAATGTTTTGTCTATATGCATAATTTTCGTCGCGAATGCACTGAACAACTTACGTAAAATTTATCTTTGCCTGACTCACGAGGACTGGCACGAGCGGGATCGTCACCAATAAAACTATCACGCAGTTAAAAATCTGCTACAATCATTCAGACGACTTGTCGTCGTGTCATTACAATATTACACATTGAAATATCGGCATGTCGAATAACAAAAATAGTTATGGAAAGTTCTCAACAATTTTTTATCTCAAGCTGAAAATTATGAGGGCATGAAAAAGGTATCTTGGATACGACTATGAAGGATTCTTGTGTCAAGTGACAAGCAATTATGTGTAACTGGGTGAGTTATGACTTGAAACGTATCACAGCGCATGTCGCCCGTGCCCGGGTGGGCCCGCGGCCGCGGCCGGCGGGGCTCAGGTCAGCGGCGCGGCGCGATGACGGGGCGGCGGAGGCCGTTATCAGTTTCACACGCAAAGCGAAGACCACGTGACTGGAGCGGGGCTGATTTGTTTAGGGTGCGTTGTCGGCGGGACTGAACCGTCGAAAACAACGCGAAAGCATATCCAATCAATTATGTACCACCGGGGTCATCCATTTCACCTTGACCATAGACGGTTCATGAACAAGTCGACGGTCTGCCGCTGGGGGGCCAGTTCATTGCCGGGTTAGCGTCGGTGACAGCTGTTTGCAGCTGTTAACCCAGAAGACGATGTGTCAGAATTGCCATGCTTTTGCCATTGCCATGTGGTTTTCTGCTTCATTCGCGTATTCATTCCTCGGTAATACGCAGCTTTAGGTTGTGTTTCGAGTGAAACTTGCTTCCATTACCCACATTCATGCTGCTACCTAGAAATACGTAGAGAATCCTGAAACAATAATAGAAAAGTTCAGCTGGCTGTCAAAGCTGCGTAAGGATGTGCCTTTGCGTTGAAGGGAAGACTGGCAGCAGTCTTGGCTAACGCAGTCTCCTGCGATGCCGCCCCTCAACACCGGTGTTGAATGCTGCCAGAATGTCGCTGCGCTCCGTAGACCCCTAAGGCCCCCGTTTCCACACCATCCATTCGGCACTGCATCAGTCTTTCAAATTGAACCAGTCCTGGGCAGGTGTGACCCATCAAACTGCGGCAGTCTCAGGTGCAGTTTCTAATTAAAACACGATGTCTGCGTGTTCCCAGCCTGTACGATGTCAACAACGACGGCTTCATTACCGAGGACGAAATGCTGCAAGTGGTCGGTGCCATCTATCGGCTGATTGATACAACACAGTCGGACCACGTTTCACCAGAAGAAAGAGGGCAGGACCTGTTCACTGTGAGTTGTCGGCAGGCACCGGACGCTGCTAGTATGGGTTGAATCTAATCCAGGAAGGTTCAAAACTTGAGTCGGGGCTGAATCTGGTACTCTGAATCTGGTGAGTACCAGTGAGTACCTGAACAGTCGATTTCAGAGTTTAACGACTTCCAAGGAGACGGTCATTTTTCCATTGTGAGTGGAACTCTGAGTGATTGTGAAACTGGAAGTTTCAAGGCAAGCGTGGCATTTACTTCGTTCATTTCCGTGTTTTGCCCATGTCAGACTTTCAGGGAGAAAGCGTTTGGCCTTATTTCCTACCCCTCGATTTGCTGCCAAGGCATTTTCCCTACACTCTCCACTCTCCAACCTCCCTGGGTACGGTTCGGACCGAAATGTTTAAGGAAACATGGTCATGCTTAATGAGCTGTTTTTTCAATGCCGACCAGCCTCAAACAAAGCGCACTCCGGCCTGTGTTAGGGAGCCTTGCCATGATGATAGCCATGCCGGGGATGAGTGATGGGGATACTGTGCGACATGATGTTGTGTAAATGCTATGTTTCGCGAGGATATGGTGGACTTAAAGTAATTCCAATTTTACCAACACCTGTGTTGCAATTTCAGAAAATAGACGCAAATCATGATGGCATCATCACCCTGGAAGAGTTCATGGCATACTGCTCAAAGGTGAGGTGGCGCTGTAGTCAAATGTGGCTACATGCGTATTTGGAGAGATGGGCGTGTTCTCGCAGCAACTCAACACTTGATACTAAGACGATAGTTGTAACAACTGTGTGGAAGAGCACAGGGAATTGGATGCCACATAGCCTGTCCAATTCGAGGGGCCGCCTCATCATTTTTTTGTGTTTGTTTTTTGTGGAAATTGGCATTAACCCTACGATGCTGCCCGGTGGGTGAAATCATCTGAAACAAAATGGCAGGACGTTCTTCTCTTCTCGCAAACACTTTTCCAGGCTATTTTTAGCTGAATTTCCTGTTTATATGCGACCCAATTTGCATGTTCCACCTCTGAGAGCTAACGCCGTTTTGCAATATGTGTCCGTGTTTTGTGTTTTTCGCTCACGAGCTTTAGGGACAAGATACACATTTGAGCCGCGATGCGATCCGTCACAATGCCGACAGACACATCTACCAGATGTTCTGTTGTGGTGGTTTGGGAGGGGGAGGGGCGGACAACCGACAACGCCACCTACGCTGAAACTTTTATGTTTCAGGACGCCACCATCATGTCTGGCCTGGACATGTATAACCTGATGTGGGAGACGTAGGAGTGCCGAACTCCACAGTGTGCCCGTCACCTCCAGCTGCCACATCCGCAAGCCCGTGGCCGCCTGCGTTGACAGCCGCGAGGGGCTGCAGCGGTATCTGGCATGGAAACGGCGTTCGCTACGTTCACTCCACCACTTGCTCTGTTATTTGTTACTGCCTGGCGTATGCTGAGCTAGTCGTAAAGCACCGGACATGGTCGGGCAACACGAAGTCTGTTCCAATCTATCGTCCACGCGGACGCGTTAAGGATGCGTGTGTGGTGTGATGCGCGCGCATTGTATGTGTAAGTATATTTTTCAGTGAATGTGTTGAATGGTTCAGGAAGTTTCGTGAAAATGCTGCTGTCGATTCAGATCAGAACCAGCTGCATGAAGCTACTGGTGCGTCAGTCGTACTAACTGGTTATTGCAACGACGTTTCTGTCAGAGGCTTGCTCATTCAGTTCGCTCTCGCGTAGTCCGGTCGTGAGCTACCATGACTGCGGGTGACTCCGGCACTTGCTGTGTTTTGCTTGCTTGTGTGTAGTGCCCAAAGGTTCTAGATACGCGCGTTTTTATCAAGTAGTCAGGACATATACAGAGATGCTGTGACGAGCCTCTTTGAATAACCTCATGCCACATTCAGTTTATCATGTAGCGAGCACTGTGTTCATCTTTCATGTTCGGATTTATAAATGTATATTGGTCATTCACAAATTGTGTCGGTTGTGTGGGACCGCGAGCAGCAGCTTCGCGTAAAACGGTTTTTTCGCTCTCAACACTACGAAAAGGTCTGTTTATTAATTATCCCTGTATAAACCATCCTGGGATCATTCCAGTGTGAAGTACAGTATATTTTACATCCTGTCCACCAATTGCTGCAGTCATTCAGCCATGCACGCTGCGCGTTTTGATATCTGGTAACACCCCGCGCGTCCTCAGTAGCAGACTTCTCTCCCTTTCCGCTGGTGTGTAATTCGTTTGGCATCCCGGGAGACCGACCCTTAACGCATGGCTACCAGGAGAATATTTCGATTAATTTACAGCCACAGTTACTATTCTCAGCACACCCTGCCTTAAGAGCTTTATAACACGCTCGGTACCGGCGTAACGCGTCTTTCACTCTGACAGGGCGGGGGGGGGGGGGGGGAGCACCGCGCGGATTCGAACCACGCACCTCAGGTTTTCCAGACGGGTAGTTTAGCCGTTACAACATTGGTACCCTTCTCAACACCACTCAAACCAGAGTGGTTTGCAGTTCGCAATCGAGAAAGGTCATGACGAACGTATTGTCCGAAAGACATTAATCCTTACTGGACGTTCGTTACGTCATTTCATGTTTTCTTGCATGCAGCCTCGAATGCCTTTCTGCCGCAAAGCTTTCCATCGCCAGGTTACGTTTCCATCTAGCGGTACCTGGCCAGCCATGTCCTGCATACCTTTTGAAGAGAGTCGCTCGCATGCTGTAACTTTACGTTTAACTTAGTACTCATTGAGGCAAGTCAGCGCCGTTACATTCCGCCACCGGACGTAGCTCTGAACCTTGCGGAAACTAAACGTTTCCATAGCTGGGTGGCTGATCACGGTAATGGCGCATCAGGAGCCGCACAACGTTGCCGTGCGTCACCCGCGAATCGCCTGCGGCATGCCGACCACGTACAACCCGCTCCGTGCTCCGAGCCAGCTGGCACGGCGCCAACAGCACCACACGCCGCCGTTGCGTCATGTTGACCGGTCCCGGGGGGGCTCTCGGGGTTTCCTCTGACGCCGCACGTGTCAGATCCGCTGCTGGGATACCACCCATCGGAGCCTCTGGCACGGCACTGGCGCGTGCACGCCGCGTGCAGTGCTCACGTCCTTCTGACGAATTGAACTGGAGCGCCGCCGCTGCCAGCGCCGCGCGCCGATTCATGCCAAGGTCGGGCGGCATGGCGCCACCTGATCTGGTCCCTCCCCGAGGGGGGTGGGGGGGGGGAGGCTGGTGCTCACGCGGGGTGCCGTTAGGAGGAACGTCACGGTCGCGGCGCTGGGTGCCGTAACGTAAACGCTGCACGGTATTGACATACGCAGTGGCGACAAGGGATCACGTGCGGTGCACGTGCGATGGGGGGGGGGGGGTCTGCGTAAAGTACGCATCGACGTGTGGCGACGAGCGGGCAATGAACTCCACAGTTTTTGCGGGACGTACCCAGCATATCAGTGGTATATCCTGATTGTTTTTTTTAAGTTGCAAGGCTTAGGTCAATTGGCAGCGTTCTTTAAAGCGGGGCAATGTATTCAATTATTCATCGCTGTGTGTGCGTTACGGTATGCTTCTGATTACTTGGCTTTGGTACAACTTGTTCCTACTAGTGCTGCCAATTTGGCAGATTTGGAAAACCCGTGTCCGCCCCACACCAAAATGCTGAAGCCCGCTCCGACCCACAGGGCAGTACTGGAGAAAAAGGCAAAGGCCCGCAAGCATTGTTTTCACTTCCGGTAACTAGTCCCAATTTCACCTTCAAGTCTATTTGTTGTTTGAGCTAATTTTTCAAGACTAGGGCTGAGAAATCGCATTTGTCATTCCTGACACATATGCTTGTACATGACCTCAACATACCGTCTGACTAAAAAAGGTTTGAGAATCATACCCATATTTATTGTTTTAGTGCTTGTTTTGAAAATAACATTTCCTGCTGGAGTTGTCACATTTCATTCGCTTTGAAGCCTATAAGTTTGACTGATTGGAAGGAAAGTTCAGATTCACAGAAGGGCCAAGACTCACAGTTCTCTTGGTCAAGTAGATCAGATTCTTAAGGTCTAGAACCATGTCCTCATGGACAAATAATAAATCTCTCATTATTTTGGATTATCATCAATGCATCATAAGGCACTTCAAAATAATATTTGCGACCCATGCCGTGGAAGTAAGGAAATGTGACGATAGTGTTACTCTGGAGAACATTGTTTAGCTGGCATTTACTGCCTAATGTGCATTTCTACCTTTTTCATGCGATCCCCTTTCTTTCCTGCATAATATGCACACCTACGCCTTCTGTAATGACAAAATGGGCATCCATAACTCCAAGGTGATTAGTATTTGAAACCATACAAGTGTCATTTTCACAAAGAAGCAATGTTATACATAGTGAGAAACAAACGTCACAAATTCATATGTGTCACGGACAACATATGACTAAAACATTTCTGCACTACAAACACGTATTTCAATAACAACCTCGTCCTTTGCATACACAGCAGTGTCAACAGTGCCTGAACGATGACTGAGCACTCTTGCTTGCGTGCAGTAGCGAGGCCTCGAATCTCACTAAGAACATGTTTTTAAAGCATGATTCACTTCATATTGGAAACGAATTTCGGATGAGTGTGACTGACGCTATCAAGTTCCAGAAAGCCGCAACACTTCACGCCTCATGGCAAGCAAAACGCGATCTGGTGCGCCATAAATGACTCCACGCTAAACGCTTAGTCTGTGAACAGCTGATTAAACGTTACTACTGACTGGCAAGTGCGACCTGGTTTGTAAGTCGCGTTGACGCCGTTGTTTGACGGCACCAAGGCCACCAGAATCTTTTACAGTTAAAGTTAAAGCATGGTGCGCACCTCACGCGTACTGGTGCGATGAGGGTGTGCTTTAACTCTAGCCGAGTTGTAGAGTGCTTTCACTAAAACCGATTTAAGCACGACTTTTGGGCGCTCATTCCGTCGTTGCGCCGCTCGTCCACAAAAACGTCACAACATACGTGGCCAAAACAGGTTATTTCACGCAAGTTGTGCTATTACCTCGCTACTCAATGCAAGTTTATTAGTGCATTTGCGAGGAACATTACCCACATAGATAAGACAGTAGTAATAGCCTTATTCTTCAGAGAAAAAAAAAACAGGGAAATGGAGATATAGATTGGTTCAAATTTCGGCAACACGCCTTTATCGAAACAATAACAGAAGTGTCTCGATAAAAGCGGGTTGCCGCAATATCAACCGATCTATATCTCATTCTCCTGGCGTTTCTTCGAGGAATAAGGCTATTACTACCGGCTTATCTACAGGTTATTTCACACGAACGCATAGATATCATAGATGTATGTATGACGTTGGCATATATGTGTATATACATATACATATATCCATATATATATATATATATATATATATATATATATATATATATATAATAGACCATTATTTTGCGTGCCAAGGTATTTACATGCAGTGGTTTTAAGTGGACGGTACAAGAGAAAAGCTTCATTGATGCCTTGCATCGATTTGCCCAAGCTCCGTTAATAGCTGACAACGTCGACCACCCCTGCCCGTGCTCTTGGCTGTGCCGAGACCGACCTATGTGCACCGCAATTGTCCTTCGATGCTGCGGCATGGTGCGCCATTGTCCTGGCGGCTGAACGAACCGTGGGCGAAACCAGAAGACTTGGCATGCATTCAGTAGACATCATTGCTTTATCTAGGTTACAGTCTGCAGATAAGTTCTGGGCTACAGACGACTGGTTAGGTAGTAACGTGTTTCGAATTTTGCGGAAATTGGCATGCGTTTTCACTCCAATGCAAGGACCTCTTTTCGATTCAATCTACGCAAGACCCGTTGGGTGGCGTTTGTTGTTGAGCATGTCCTGAGCACTTGAATCTAAATTTTTGAGTAAATAATAATAAATTGTGCGTTGCCGGGCATTGTTTTCTCATGAAGCGTATTCAGCGCTATGAATTAAATTTAACATTACCTACCGCTACTTTTTGACAGGCTAACAATGGTTCTTGGTCTTTGGTGAGCTGCGGAGATTTCAACCATTCAGAAGGTATGTATTATTATATATTGTATAAGTAAACTATGAGCAGCAGTGGTACATTGCCTGAGCCACATTATTCTGCTAATGAAGTTACTGACTTAGTCATGGCAGATGCAGTTATGAAAGAGTATGCTTGGTATCTGAAAAACCTTGACCATGACGATGCTGCTCCTTTATTATCACCTATTTTGTCAAGCTTTTCTTCAAGCTTATTAGTAGTTGTTGTGCTGCAGTAAAAGATAATTGATGTGTACTTGTGTTGATAAATGAGTCAGTCAAATGATAAGATGTGTACTCGCGTCGAAAATACACATTTTGGACTAATTTCTATCGTGAAAGTTCACCATTATATACAACTTTGTTAGAAATATCTACCAAAAGTCCTGCGGGGTATTTAAGCCCACATGCTGGGAGCCTGCAGGCTCAGAAATGGCAGCTCTAGTTCCTACTACACTGAACAGAAATATGTTGGCCAAGTCCTGAAAAATATAAAATGTTAAAATGGACTGAAGTATGATCAGTGACCAACACAATGAGACGAGTGTCAATTTATATTGTGGATAGTCACGACAGCTGAGCCCGACGTGATGTGCAAAGCTCCTGGCAATCATGTATGCCGCGCGCAGCCATGTATGCCGCGCGCTGCCTTTGAAGAATTGCACAGACTGATGGATGCACGCTGCTGATTTAGAATATTAAACGAAGTCACACTGGCTCACCTCCACATTAGCCATGCGTATAGTACACACATACTTCGGTCACACAGCGCCAAAGATCCCCTCCCCCAACATGCAGTGGGTGTGGCGAAATGGTGACGGGCAGAAATGCAATAGCTGGCTTTTCACAGCTGTCTGCGCATAGGCACCAAAGCTTTGGTCGCACCAGGCTACTGGAGTCATTAACTGGGAAACATT